AGGCAAGGCCAGTATTTTGCTTCTTAGAACCCAGCTAACTTACCTGCCTGAAATACTACATAAGGCAGCGAAATAAACTTCAGTCATGTGTGGTAAATGCACTAACTTTTGCTGTTGTTGTAGCAACTTGGCCTATATACTAATTAATGTAGATGAAGAGCTAGTCAAAATCCCTACTGGATTCCTACTGTCTTTTTTTGTTTGTTTAAAAGAAAAAGATAGAAAAAAAAAAGCAAAAGAGACAAAGAAACAACAACAACAAACCAGAAACAATAACAATAGAGGCTTTCAAAACAAGATGATAGAGATTTAACAATGGTTGTAATATTGCGTATCATCTTAAGAACAAATAAAAGCATTCACCTGACTCACAAGTCCCTGTTAGACAGACTCTCTGTCAGTATCACGAGCCATGTCTGGGTCACTTTCCATAGGCACCCTATTCCAGTCTTTGCTTCTCTTCCGTGCCCTAACCCTAACCCAAATCTTTCCAAAGAAATCTTTTCTTCTTGGAAGGAGTTTACTTATATCTAAGCTCAAATTTGGTATCATTAGGGAACCATTCTCAGACTCTCTCAAGTTTAGGTCAGATTCCTTTGTACCTATTTTACTAGTATCAAGGTACTGAAATGTGAGTTAGTTTTGTTTATTTGATACACAGTCATCAGATAATACCTCTTCATCATCAGGTGTGTACAACAAAACCATGCTTGCCTTAGCTCTTTAACACCGGACCTATGACAAAGCCTAGCTTCTACCAGATATGCAACAAATAAACTAAATATTTGAACAAATGTATTCATGATATCTTTCTACACATGACCCTGTCCACAGCTAGCCCATGGTGTGTGGTCTCCATCTTCCTCCGTCCTCCTGCTGCCCACGGTCTGGACACTCTGGACACATTTTCTTATTAGAAATTAAAAAATCAATAACAAATATAGATTTAGATGTTGATATGCTGTTAATATTAACAATTTAGGAACCTAGAAATTACCTTTTCAAGGTGAATATGCACAGTTAATGTTTTAAAACTAAGATGAACAGGTTGCTGAGCAAATCTGCTGTAGTGAGATTGACCAATCATGTATGTGTAGGTACAACTTCTGTCAGTCCTTTGTGTTATAATTTAGTAGGTGTAAATACTAAGTCAATTATCAGTATATCCAATTGACAGTTTTCAAGTTCATTTTCCTCTAGAACACATATTTATAAAGTAACTATCTGTTCCAAAATGCATTGCCTTTGTTGTCTCCTAGAAATTAAATTAATTACACTATAAAATGTATCTACTTTTTCACAAATACTGTTTTCAGTTTTAATTTTTTATTGGTATCGGTTTTCAGTTCACAATGATTACTTTTCTCATGTGGAGTTGGTGCACATACATAGCGCATCTTAATTCTTTTTTCCATCACTTTCTTCCTCTGTTCCCCAATTCTGTACCTCTGGTTCCCTTTCCCTTTTTAAAAAGAACTTTCTCCTTCTTTTCCAATTGTTTATTTTTTATTTTGCCTTTTATTTAAATTTTGGGTTTTACATATAATAGAAAACCATGTGATATTTAAACTTGTGTGTTTGATATATTTCACTTACATTATGGTTATAGAAAGGAGAGGGTAAGAGGTAAAATCACACATGCACAGCTAAGAATGCCTATTTATAATCTACTAACACAACTTTCTTCATAATCTGTTTATACTCTTGAATTTCAATAACTTTAATGTTTGTTTTATTAAAATAATCTCAAAACATTAGTTTTGAATTATTCTATTTTGTTAACTGATAAAGTACCTCTACAAGGCATGGAGAAATGAAGAAAAATCTAACTTGTAAGTGTTCCATACAATATTCTCTCTGCTGTTAGAAAAGCAGGCGCTAACATCTCTTTAAAGTATTTTCTTTGTTTCTGTTCCACTGAGAATTAAAATCAATTTGGCTTACTATAGGTAATTCACATTTGTAGACTAAATCAGAAGTTTTCTAAGGGCTGGGGATTTAGCTCAGCGGCATAAGCACCTGCCTTGCAAACAGGCGGTTGTGAGTTCGATCCCTGGTACCGGAAAAAAAAGGAAAAAAAAAAAGATCTCATTTGTATCTCACAATGGATATCTTCTGGGCCTCCAATAGACTGGAAAATGTTTAAATTTAGGGTTACAGAAATTTGCCTGTGGCTGATGTGATTAAAGGAAATATAAAGGCTGTTTATAAAATTCTAAGAGATACATAGCTTCTTGCACAAAATTGTATTTGTGCTCTAATAAGCATAATTTTAAAAGTCACTGAAATTTAAGAAGTTTCTTTACAATACTATCATGAATGGTTAACTAGTAACATTTACTTGAAAATTTTACATTTTATTTAAAATGTTTTATATTCTCAGTTTATAGCACGTCTTTGAAAAATCACAGACTTAATAAAATTATGTTATTAGTGAATCAATGTTATTCTTGTTTCTAGGTTTATTTTTTAAAATATTTTTAATTAGTTTAAAACATTTGATCATAATTTTAATTACATACACTGACAATGGGGATCTTTGATTAAAAATGCAAGAGCTGCAAACTTATACCATACAGGAAATGTAAGAATTAAAAGATATTAAAATGGTATAGTATGCAAAATTATCTCAAGAAACTTGAAAATAAATGGCGTAAGTAAACTTTGACAAAAGTAAAACTTGACGCATTCATTAAGAAAAAGAAATCCTTAATAATCTTAAATTCATTAAAGTATCAAATTAATAGTTTAAACTTTCCTTCATTCCTTTAAAGTGTATACATATATACATAGATATATCATACATACACACACATACAAAGGATAGATATTTTTTCACTTTCTACATATCCAATAAAAATTAACAAACATTCTCCTACCTCTTTTTTTTTTTTTTTTCTTTTTCCAGTGCTGGGCATTGAACCTATGGTCTCACAAATGGTAGGCAGGCAACCTTTCATGGCAGTATTCTCACCTCATGATGCTTGTATAACCTAGGTAGTTAAGCCAAACAGAAAAATCCAAGTTAGAAAAGCTCCAGGGTTATGTATTCATGAACAAAAGTCTAAAATTTCTAGGAAAAGTATTACCAAATCAAATTGACTGAGGAACAAGAAAAGCAATATTATTATTTTGGGTTCAGTGAAAATTAGAAGCTGTTTTAATACTGGAAATGTTTTTTGAATATACCTTTTTATATTTGACAATTTAAAAATGTGTATGCTATCTCAGACTCTATCAATGAATCCTGTTATACATAAAACATATTGGCACAATATAATAAATATTGCATAGCAGTGTTGAAAGATTGGAATAGTTACAAAACTGTTTGAAGATGGGGGGGGCGTATTGTGCACACATGCATCCATGTATAGTATCAATACCTCAAAGAGACTTCAAAATACAAAAATAAAGTCTAAGTAGATTAAAATCTATAATTCACAAAAGAATATTTTTTGTGTCTCTAGTGTACAGAGGGATTTATTATACATGAGCCCAAAAGCACAAACCACAAAGTAAGAATTTAAATCCCCTAGAACTTAAAATAAACATGGTAAAGAGAGAGAGAAAGTTAAATATTATTTGTAATACATATTGCTAAAGCATTAATATTCATAGAATGTAAAGGATTCCTAAATTAAAAGATATTAACAAGTAATTATATACATAAACAAAGGTATAGGCATTTCACACTGAAGAAACAGCAATGTTTCAATACATGGAAGTTGATCAATTTCATCGTTGATGTGGAATTACAATTTTCAACTAAAATAACTTATAAGTACTTGAATATCTATGCATTTGGCTAAATAAAGACATCTCATTATCCTGAAGTTGGTGAAGATGTAAAGTGAAAGCAGTCAAATTTACTGGCTATGTGAGTACAAATCGGTACAGTCACTTTGGAAGTTTGATAGGTCTAGAAATGTAGCTCAGAGGTAGAACTGGGTTAATCTTGAGACATGCAAAATGAAAGACTAAAAAGTCATACTTCCTGACCTAATTATCCTACTAATTTGTATGTATTGGAAGGGTAAAGTGAAAAACTGGACTATAATGTTTTTTTGAATCAGAAATAAGCAAGTTTTGACCTTTGATCAAATCTTTTACAACATTAACAAAAGGAGTATATAAAATTGTATAATATCCAAGGGAAATGAGGCTCCTGATGAGTTCCAATACACTGAGCTGATCATGTAGACACAAAGATTGCTTACTTAACTCACATGCAAAACAAATCATATATTTCCTCTGAGATCACAGGACTTTGGAGCCATTCAGCTTAGATTTTAAACTGGATATCAATAACTAAGGTGGCCCACACATGTCCAGTCATATCATCTGTAACTATACATTTCTCTAGGACAAAAGTATTTGGAGTGTAGGAAGTAACTTCTGAATATCACAGACCCTCTATCATACTATTGCTATATCTGCTATGCTGACTGCTTTTATTCTTTCTTAAAGTTACATGAACTTGGTGCTGGGTGGAACTTCTTGATTTACATTTGTTTGCTCATTAACCTAGACTTGCTATTGTTCAAGCTGACCTCTGTAGAAACTCATATCCACCGAAGAACATGTCCAGAAAACAGTTTCATATCATTTTTTGTAAGATCAAAGAAAAATGTAAATAATCAAAAGAAGTAGAAATAATCATAGAAGTAATATAAATTAATTGTATTTGCATTCATTGGTTACAGCTCAATAGCGAAAATGAATGAACTATCACTAAAAAGGAAATAAAAATTGATGACTATAAACTACATAATACTCAGTGAAAGAAAGCAAGCATAAAGAATGCAAACTGTAAATACATACCTATATTAAGCTAAGAATCAAGGAAAGCTAATTTTTTTTAAAAAATTCAATTATTTTTGGTCCTTGGTTGAACTCACAAGGCAACTATTCTGAGCAAAAGACGCACAGACAATTTGCACGAACATTTCAAAAGCAAAGCTAGCAAGACAATGAAGGAAACATGAGTAGGGAGAAATTGAAAGGCTGCACTTTCAGGAATCATTTCTATAGCTTGTTACAAGAGAAAGTTTTCTGATCTTGTAGCGCACCAGAAACCATGAGGAGGCATAGTGTTCCTTCTTGAGCATGAAGCTGGCTCTTGGTGTTGCTTGACTGCACCTACCACTTGCACCTACCACTTGATGATCGTTCTTGCTTTCTCCTTGGAGAGCACAAGAGGGAAGGAACACAGTCTGAGTGGTTTAAGAAAAAGAGACAGACGAATTGAACAGTTACAAAGTTGAAACAGATGGGTTGGTAGATTTTACAGGGAGCTCTAAAGTATGTGTGGCCATTCAGAAAGGACCTAAGCAGAAAAAGATGGGTTAGAAATTGAATTCATATTGAATGGTGTGAGCATTAAATGCAAGCTTTCCCAGGGTTATATGGCAACTTCAGTCAGTCAAGGGTAATTTCCAGGGAAGCTACATACCCATAATCAATCAGCAGCCGATATTTCTCATATATGGAGGAATTAATACCTCATTCTTGAAGGATCTAGCAGGAACAACAGAGCTTTCATTAAACTAATGGTCAATTCCTTTTTAAAAATTTTTCTTTCTTTTTAAAATTAAGTTTATTGGTACACTTTAGGTACACATAATTATTACATTCATCATTGAGAATTTGTATCTGTATGTGACACAACTTGATTCTTTTTCTCCCTTTCTCCAGCCTCCCTCCAGCCCCTTTCCCCTCATCTACAAAAGCTTTGTCTCCTTTTTTTTTTTCTTTTTTCATCCACTCCAGAGTTTCCCTTCCCATTAGAATATTTTCATCCTATTTTAACAATACCTAATATACATTTTGGTCCTTATTTACACTTTCATTTTCCCACAGCAGACAATGTGGTATTTACAGACGTTTCTGGCTTACTCCACTTAGGAGTATGGTCTCAAGGTGCATTCTTTTAGCTAAAAATGTCTCAAGCTTATCCTTTTGTATGTCAGAGTAATACTGCATTGTATAAAGAAGCACATCTTTTTCATCCGTTCATCAAGGGCATCAAGCTTTAACTATTGAAAACTGTGCTGTTATAAACATGAGTGTGTACATATCACAGTGGTATGATGCCTTCAGTTCTTTTGGGAAGATACTAAGAAGAGGAATAGTTGAGTCAAGTGAAATTTCTAGTTTAAGTTATTTGAGGAATCTCCACACTTATTTTCACAGTGGTTGCACCAGTCTACACTCCCAAAACAGAAGTGTTCCTTTTTCCCCTTGGTATCCCCAGCATTTGTGACTGGTTGATTTCTTGATAATGAAATCATATTTAACTTTCATGTGTCATGAAATATTTGTTATTTTTTTCAATATTTTTAAATGCAAAATTCATTCTTAGTTCAAAAGCTATTGAAAACAGGTGGGCAGAGACTAATTTTTTCTTACTCTTAATTGAGATGATGACTGTAGAAGGAAGACATATGGCAAGAAAGTAGTGTTTTGATGTTCTTGATAGAAATTTGTTATAGAGGATGAGATTCTGCAATGAAACAAGGGAAGGAGAATCTATATTTTTAGAACCAAATCAGATATAATTTGGAAACCATAGACTCTAAAGTACTGAAAAATCACTAAATTAGCAAAATGCCTATTTTAGAGATGAATTTTTAAATTTTATTTATTTATTTTAAAGAGAATAAAACAAAACAAAATAAAAAACCAAAACAATAGGAATGGTAATGAACTTCAAAAACAATAGGAAATCCATAGTAGTCACTATATTGTATATTGTTAGTCTCTAAAGAGATTCTCAGACTACTAGATTTAGGTCTACAAAGTTAATCAGACAATAGAAGCAGTAAGATGTTCCTTTAGTTTAGTTGCTATCATCTCAGCCGATGTTCCTCCAAATCAGCCTGTTGCTTAAGGAGGCCTGGGTTGGGAATCTTCCTTCCGTGCCTGGGTGCCACCTAACTCACAGGGAGGGCACTGCTTCCTGGTTATCTCCTGGCCAGCTCCCTAATGACTAATTCTTGTGCCACTCACACCCTCTAGCATTGTGTAACAAATTCAGCCCATCCATTTCAAGGATTCTAGTAATTCTCTTTCCCGTGCAAATTTAAAATGACAGTTAGTAAGATGAATTATGGTTCCTGTCACTGAAAATGGCCCCAAAAAACTGTAACTCATAGTCTTTCTCCTCTACTACACTTTCTTGATAGTCCTCATCCTCAGCTAACACCCCTGTTTTTTAGAAGGTATAACTGATGAAGTGATGCACACTTTCATTCTAAAACCATCTGAAACTAAGACCACAATGTTTCTCTCAAGCTCTATTTGCTGCACTTTCCTATTCACCATCAAAACAGACCACCAGAGTGCTAGAAGAGACTCCCAGTAGATTAACTAAGTGCCATGTGTCTCTCCCCACTTCTGTCATGCAAGAGATGTCTTACCAACTTATTTGGGACCACCACACTGTCTACTGATTGTTGATTTAGGAAATATATTAATGGTAGAAGATGTAACCTCATCCTTTCTGATATCATTTATAAGATATTACCTCAGCTGTCACTTCAAAGTTAGTACCATCATTCTATCAGGTTGTCTGTATTTAACAAAACACTGTTCAATTATGGAGTTATGTGCCTGATATTACAGTTCCTATTGTGGGTTCACAAGTTATTATGTGGAATATGTTAGCAAATCTAACACTGAAAATCCTTGTGCAGTGAGAGGTTCATTATAGGAAAAGTAAATTCACACGCTAAACATATGTCAGTTCCTTTTAAAGAAATCACTGCCCCTTCCAAGATGGAAATGTTCCATTAGAATTAACTTGCCATCAAGTAGCTGATTGACTTCCTCTAGGGAAAGTGGCACATCAGGAACTCAGTTTTAAAAGCTGTTCCTGCAGATAGGTTAGATATCCAGCAGCACAGGAAATTAGATCAGACTGAGTGAGTACATGCTCATATTGTTGGCCTCAAGCTTATTCCCCATACATACTTTCCTGGTGACTATGTTCTTGACTACATTGGGAAACAAAAATGACAAAGGCTCATTAATTTCAGCCAGCAAATAATTGAGTTTGCATAGCTGTTTAGCAAGCCTATGTGTTTACTTGCGTACTTTGACCCTGTTTGTGCACAATGCTTAGTCACTTGCAGTTTAAACTAGATGGCTCATGGTCTTTAAAACTTTGAAGATCTGAAGAAACTCCAAAACATGATGCATAGTTCAGGCTGTATGTTCATTTGTTATCCTATGGTCAAATTCTTCATCTTATCTGGAAACCAGTAACATTCCAGCAGATGCATTTTAAATGATTTAAAATATTCTGATATAGATATTATTTCACTGGTGCAGATTCTATGGGTCTCTTTTCCCATTAGAGATACCTCTAATAGCATAAAGGTTATGTAATCCAAGCTTCAGGAGTTGTTGCCTCACATCCGTAATGATATTAAATATTTTCTTTTTCTAGGGAAGGTCGGCAGCTTTGTGTGTCATTTACCACATAGATTAGAACAATACAGCCAAATATGAGATCTTATGCCTTTAGCATCTAAAGAAGTTTATCAATAATGTTGTTCCCTTTTTAGCAGTAAACTCACAAAGTACGTGAAAGTCCTGTCATGTCCTTTACTATAGATTCTTAAAGACCTCACATTGTGATAGTTTCCTTTGTGGACTTAATTTCCCACATTTTTAAACATATTTGACTTACCATGGATCTCCAAAATACTCAAACTTTTTTATTTTAAATTTTTTAATCAACAAGTAAAAATTATATTAATCGTGTACAACATGATGTATTGAAATAAATGCACATTGTAGAAAGGGCTATGTAAGCTATTCAATGTATGCTTTCAAATATATATATATATATATATATATATTTTTTTTTTTTTTGTGGACTCACCACTTCATTATAAGATCTAATTAGTATTATGTTCTAATTAGTATTATGGTACAGTGAATAAAAGTGATGTTTTACAGAATGTGAAGATAGTTTCTATCCTTTTAGACAGTTATATCACTGAGGATGGAAGTGCAAACATAGCCTTGGGGCAAGAGTAGAAATGAACATTCTTATGGGCTGAATTATATACCTTCAAAACCTATTACATCGGGCCCTAATCCCCAAAGTGATTGTACATAGATTAAGTCTTCAAGGTGGTAATAAGAGTAAAGCAGATCTTAAGGGCTGGACCTATTCCAGTAAGTCTAACAAGAAGAGGAGGGGTCACTGAGAGAAAAGCTCTTAGGATAGCACAGTAGGAAAGTGGCTGTGCACAGAACAGGAAGAAAGGCTTCACTGAGACCAGCTTTGCCAACTTCTAGGACTATGAGGAAACAATCATTGTCATGTGATCCATTCAATTTCAGGCATTGTACTGTAGCAAAATAAGCAGACTAATACAGATACTAATGTTTATACCAAATATGCATGAATTGTAACCAGGCCTCTTTCTCGATGGTGACAGAGGCAACACGTGCACTGAGTCATGTCTACAAAACTCAAACCTCACATGCTAATCTACTCTAGCATGTACAGTACATGCAGGGGCTCCATTTAGGGCTACAAAATGCCACTGTGACATAGAAACTGTATTGAACTTGGAAGTAATCCATCTTAGCCATGAGTCAGCTGGTTCTTATAAATCAGACTTGTGAATTATCTATGATGACATCTTAATAAGTGATAAAAATATTTGCCTGTTCACCAATAATGGAATATGTTTTTTTATTTTACTATCTTGGCCAAAAATGTGTCATACAGACACTTCTGCCTGACCTCTCAATGGTATCTCCAAACCCAAGCAAAATTCAAGTACCCAAAATGAGAACTCTGATACATTTTAAGTATGCCCATGTCAGGGACATGCTCGGAGAATTGAGAAATAAACATGGAATGAGTTTATGCACCAAATAGACCCAGGATAGTTCAGTACTCCATTTATTACCTGCCCTAATTGTGACTCTACTGCAGCAAAGAACTCATTATGATGCTTCGGGTCCTTGGATATCAGTGTTTGCCAAGAGTGTCAGTTGATGGCATTTCAGATCTTGTCCACTAGTCCTAAAAATATCTGTTTTCTGATTTCTCCAGCACATGATTACTCAAGAAAACATCCTTGGATTCCTTGTGCAAGAAAAAATAGTGAGTTCCATATCTACTTGACATGGGTTTGCAAGATTCTTTTTCATGGAGATTTCACCTCTTCAGTAAGGGGATTGTGAAACTGAGACATGG